TACTCCAAACTTCGCTATGGCCAAGACCAAAGAGCTGTCGAAGGACACCAGAAACAAAATTGTAGACCTGCACCAGGCTGGGAAGACTGAATCTGCAATAGGCAAGCAGCTTGGTGTGAAGAAATCAACTGTGGGAACAATAATTAGAAAAGAAGTTTGGAGTATGACTGTTTGAGGTTGTGGACAGGTGTCTTTTATACCGATAACAAGGTCAAACAGGTGCCATTACTACAGGTAACAAGTGGAGGACAGAGGAGCCTCTTAAAGAAGTAGTTACAGGTCTGTGAGAGCCAGACATCTTGCTTGTTTGTAGGTGACCAAATACTTATTTTCCACCATGATTTGCAAGAAGTTTGGAGTATGACTGTTTGAGGTTGTGGACAGGTGTCTTTTATACCGATAACAAGGTCAAACAGGTGCCATTACTACAGGTAACAAGTGGAGGACAGAGGAGCCTCTTAAAGAAGTAGTTACAGGTCTGTGAGAGCCAGACATCTTGCTTGTTTGTAGGTGACCAAATACTTATTTTCCACCATGATTTGCAAGAAGTTTGGAGTATGACTGTTTGAGGTTGTGGACAGGTGTCTTTTATACCGATAACAAGGTCAAACAGGTGCCATTACTACAGGTAACAAGTGGAGGACAGAGGAGCCTCTTAAAGAAGTAGTTACAGGTCTGTGAGAGCCAGACATCTTGCTTGTTTGTAGGTGACCAAATACTTATTTTCCACCATGATTTGCAAATAAATTCTTTAAAAATCAGACAATGTGATTTTCTGGATTTTTCCCCCCATTTTGTCTCTCATAGTTGAGGTATACCTATGATGAAAATTACAGGCTTTTCTCATCTTTTTAAGTAGGAGAACTTGCACAATTGGTGGCTGACTAAATACTTTTTTGCCCCACTGTACCATTATACCTCCTGGTGTCTTTAACCATCTAGGAGGGGCCTGGATCTAACAAACAAATGGCCAAGCTAAGAGACTGGAGAATCTTGTCCCTTGGGAGTCACAGAATCAAACTTGCTCCAGATAAGACCTTGGCCAGGGCAGCTCAACTGGACCCATTCAGTTGGAGTCCAACTCTGAGTGAACCTGAGCAAGTTTATCTGTCAAATAGCAAGAATACTCCTCACAGCAGCCCAGTAGATGGTCCTGCACCCTATACCTTTCCAGCAAGGACTGAGTTGCTCTGAAAAGAGTTGTTAGGCAGATACTGCCATTGCAATAGACAAGAAAAATAAGAACATTTCACTGCTCTTTATCACCATGATGTTATCCCTAATACAGATTCTTACTCATGCTCAGTCTGATTCACTCCAACAGTGCTCTAGGAAAGGAAAAAAGAAGATACACTGGAGATAAAACTAGAAGGAACTGTTTTGTACTACAGCTATATTAAGTCAAAGTATCTGCATTTAAAATATTTTAGTTTTATAGAATTTCTCAAAAGTATTTTGTTTACTGTGGAAAATATTCTCTTTAAGTAAGTTGCTGCTACTGTGCACTGAGTAAATGTTCTCTCAAACGCACCAGAAACTTATTGTGGTTCTTGAGTTTACCAGTTTGTTTACTATTTTAATAACCAGATGTGTTTTCTTACATAACCCACCATAATATACTGCCAGATAACTCACCGACTGTGGGGTGCCACTACGTTTCTTGGAGAGCTGTGGTGAGTTGCCATATTCTCGGCACACTTGTTTCCTCACTTCGGCTGCCACAGTCCTGTGAGGTAGGAAGATAATAGTGAAACATCCACTTTTCTCTTCATTTCTGTATCATACATATTCTCAACCCTTTTCCACTTCACTGGAAATATGAAGAGTGCAACCCTTTCAATGACAAAATATACACCTATTTTGAAATCAACAGAACCTCAATTAACAGTAGTCCCCAAAACTGTAAATCTGGGTTTCAGATTATCTCCACCCACTGTCTCCATCTACTCCACTTCCAGCTTCAAAAGAGATCCCCTGCCTTCATTCAGTGCCAATAAGATAGGAGAGATGAACATCTTTTATAAACATCCTTTACAAACTGATCTTTACTCTGGCTTCTCTTCAAACAAAACCAGCCCCCCATCCTGAGATCAGATGATATCATCTTCACAGTAAGACATAACCCATTCAGGGAAAAGAAAACTTAATACTCCAAAGAAGTCCTCCATCCGCTATGACAGACAGTCCTCTATACTAGTTCTCAGGAAATGCACATGGGTGGAAAATTAGATATTCCTAATATCTAATCAGAATATATGAATGGCCAGAGCAACAAAGTAATTCTGTTTCCTGTTCCTTTCTTCTTTTATCCCATCCCATCACACAAAGAGATGAACTTAAAAAATTAAGAAATCAGAGGAAGTTGTTTATTAAAATACCCAACATGCGGAAATCTTCAGTCTGAACATTTAACATATACTGTAGTACCTGGAAAGAAAAGTTGGGCTAAGTGGGGAAAAAGTGGGGAAAGAAAAGTGGGGCTTAGAAGAGCACCTGGTTCCTTTTTAGATAACCTGGATAAAGCCAGTTTTGAAGATGAACTTTACATAATATCTCTCTGTGGCTAAATTAATATATTATAATCCATAATTTGCATAATCATTATTTAGTGAATGCATCGTAACATGCCAAGCCAAACGTCATGGTTTACCAACTACAATGCTTAGTATGTACATATGTATGATCCCTAGAAAGCTGCAACAGGGAGCAGCAAAATATTACTGTATCTATTACAAGAGGGATTTTTAAGCTTTGTGGTGCTGTGATGCTCCCCCCCTCCAAGTACACTTGGGTGATGCCCATGAATAATGATGAATAAGACCATCAACAACCGCCGGAGGACGTGAGGATTTTTGCACTGCATTCTAGCTCAGGACTCCGAGCATCTGAACCTCCCCTCATCCGGAAGCAGTCAGCGGGAATGAAAACAGCGACCAATGCCTCCCTCCTGCAGAGGCCGGTTGGCCTCTGGTGGCATGGAAGGCTCACTTTGCCTGCCAAGCCCTGGGTGCAAACACCCTGGAGGGGCAGGCAGAAGAGTGGCCAGGCTTTCCATCCTCTCGGTCAAGTCCTGCCCCAGGTCACAGCGGCTGCCTGGCCATGACAGCAGAAGCAGCTGAGTGCCATTCTTACCAGCAGTTACCCAAACTGGTGAGCTTGGCAGGCCCTTTTCGTATCTGAGGAGGCACCTGAGTCTGGGCCTCTTCTCCCCATCAGCCATGCACCATGCAGCCTCTTTCCCTCTTGCCTTCCCTGAGGTCTGCAGATGCTGTGCTCCCTACTCCCTACCTGTCATCCCATCTGGCCACCAGTTCCACACCTTAGTTGCATTCACACAACATGGCAAACAGGTGGCTTCTTTGGGTTTAGCATACCAGGTGATCCCTGGCCCTGTCTTCATTTTCTATCCTAAAAAAAAATCCCCAGGGTGAATGGCAACCAAGCCACATCTCTCCTCCATTTTCCTCACCCTTTCTCTTTTTCAGTTTTGGAACTGATGGATCAACAGGGAGATCTGAGCAGACAAGAAGCTGGAATAACAAGTTTGAACTAAAGAGACCCTTGCCTAATGCACACTTTAGTGAGAGAAACCAATCCCCAGGCAGCTAGAATAGATGCAGTTGTGTTGGAGAAGGAAGGATCAGACTCAGGGAGTCACAGAGGTGCTGGAAGGCAACATCTCCGAGGCACGTAGGGCATTTTTCCACAGAAAGGCCCCCAGACATTAAATATGCTTCTTTTGTTTCAGGCAAAAAAACAGAGCTATCAACTATGTGTTCTTTGCTCAAACACAAAAGGCCACCACATATGGGGATTTTTCCACACCGCTGTGGCACTTCCACAAAAAACAGAAGAACCTGAAAAAATGAGAAGGAAAGCAAGCAGACAACTATAGAAAGCTTTTTTAAAAGCTAAGGCAAGGCCATTCCAGCAGGCTTCCAATAGTGAGAGAGAGGAAGGAGAGATTTTTCAGTTGCTGCTCTGGCAACAGAGAGGAGCACAGTGGGAGTTAACTTGGTCTTCTCCTTTGGAGAGGGTGGGTGTGAAAAAATGAGTATCTTCTTCTGCTTCTTAGCTCTAGAAGAGTTGGGTCTTTAGAAGAGTGAGTTCTACTGACTCCCAGCGCAATTTGCTTGGACCAAAATGTTTACTCTGTTTGTGCATGTTTGTGTAATAAATTCCATTGTGAATTCCATGTTTTTTAAATTTCCTATGGCCCAAGGTGGATGAAGAACAGGTTTGCACTACTTTATCTGATTCTGCTAAAGTGCAGAGCTCTGATTTCTTGAATAAGTTACAAACTGGCTTCAGTGCAATATCCCAATGAATTCCTTCTGTTGGACTCTACTGAAAATTCACTACACCAAGTGGGTGTACTTTCAATCCTCTGGCTCCATCCACTGAACCAGGAACTGAAATTGGAAGACATGTATCATGATGTACCAGGTACAAACAGGCAGTAGGAGAAAAATGGAAAAGAGCAAGAGGACTGCTTCCTACAATGAGGAAGCTGTTACATAAGACTGATACATGTTGCTTATTGTGTTCAGAAAGCCAGTTGTAAAGCAGACAGAGAAAGAGAGAGAAAAGTATCTAAGTACCTCATTGTTGCAGCAATTAGAGAAAGAAAAACACACCCTCTGTATTATTAGCAAATCTCTAGGGGCTATTTGAAGCCGCACAGTGAGGTGCAAGACACTTTGAAAAAGGTTAAGTGGCAAAGCAGCTTTTCTACAGCATTATTACATGTTCAAATTATAGCTTTCTATTCAATGACTTACACTGATGTGGGATTTTATGACCCAGTCTTACTGCTGTGTTTTCTGTCCCACCCAGTTCACACTGCTAAATCAGAACCTCCCATCTCCCAAATGAAGACAATATATGAGAGTGTAAAAACCAAGCAATTCAGCACCCACCGAGACCTCTTTTTATGGAAAGGTGGGAGGCCTTTATTCTTTTATTTTTTTCTTTGAAATTCCTCCAACCCCCTTTTTTCTGTCCCACTGAGCAAATCCGCACAGATGACGTGGGGCAAGCTGTAAGATCTCATATAACCCAAAGTTTTCATGTGACTTCAGCAGCTGCAAAGGAAGAAGCCAGAATGCAATGGCTCACACCCCGCTCACTTATCAGGAGCATATTTTTGCCATAATATAGTAAGAGAACATCCATCACCAGCTTTTTAACCATGGCTTCATTAAAATATTTCCAAATGAAGTCTCTTGTACAGCTGCTACCACTATTAAGCATTAACTAAGTACACTTCAGGACCCCAAACACATTCCTCAAATTCTGCAAACTGTGTTGTGCTCGTGTTTTGATTCAGTTGCTATTCTTCTCCCTGTTACTTGTTTTTAAATCCAGATTCAGCCTCCTTCTTCTCAAATGCTTCATTCTTTGTCCTTCATAATCTGTGCACCCCCAGAGAGATGGCAAATGCAAGATTTATTTCCAGATCTTCATCCCCATATTAGCCAGTCAAATGCAGTATAATTAGAAGTTATTTTCTGGATAATATCTATGAGCTACATTTATTTTTTAATGAACCATTTAAATATGTTTTTAACTCTGGTTTAATTTTTTAAAACCCCAATTTAAATTTAAGAATGATTTTTCTACTCTATTTGTAAATAGAGAATATAACTTTATGCAAACAAAAACTACAACAGATGATCCTTGCTTAATGACTACTTGTTCAGTGACTGTTCAAACTTACAACAATCCTGAACAAGTGGTACTTGATCAGTCCTTACACTCACAACAGTCGCAGTGTCCCCATGGTCACATGATCATGATCCAGGCGCTCAGTGACTGGCTCACAATTACAACATCACAGCATCCCGTGATGTTGGTAAGCAGCATGGTCACATGATATCGCACTTTATGACCCTGTCACTTAGTGACAGAAATTACAGTCCCAATTATCATCATTAAGTGAGTACTACCTGTAGTATTCAAGTAAAAACTAACAGGATCCAATATTCAAACCAATTGTATTTTGATGATTTATACCAAAGTATTGTCTTGACAGCATATAACTTTTGTGGTCATTACTGGCACAAATCTATAATATATTACTGGAAGGAACATTACACAAAAAAGTCTATATAAATTATAGGATTTTGCCATGGAACCAATATTGTATAAAGGAGAGAAACAACAAATAGTTTTACTTGAAGGCAAGTTAATCAGTTACTTGAAGCCTTGTTCTCAGGGATTTCAAGTATTAAATTTAAAGTACTGTAGTGCCAACTTTCTTTGGGAGGCAATTAAGAGAAAATAAAGCAAGGCAGAAGAAGATGCCCTGTAGAATATCAACGGCTGTAGGCTTTTTGGGAACATGAAAAGGAAGATGATGCTGGTCAGGCATGGTTCCCACTAATGTCTGACAGGCCTTTGCAGGAACCGAATGATGAACCACGAGGGTCTTTGGACTGATTCAGCTTTTACACTCTTCCTGTGAAACTGGCAAGCTCTTTTCTGCATGGCCAACCTCTCCGGCACTGTGAAACTTTTCTAGAGATCCAATGCTAAAAATTTACCAGAACACAAAAAGTCTCAAGCAATACTCTTTAGCAGGGCAGAAATTCTATACTTTTTTACTCCACCCAATCACACATTCTACTAAAACAGAGCTGAGATCTAGACGTCCAACATTTGCTAGATCCAATAAAATACCCTATTTTGTCTTTCTTCCCAGACTGCTTAACAATTTTAGCTGAT